TCTCTCTCTCTCTCTCTCTCAAAACAAATAAACTTAAAAAAAAAGTCCAACCAGGTCTATCTCTGCTTTTTGGAGATAGAGTCTCTGTCCTCCCCTCCTGCCTCAGGGATGCTGGGGACAGAGCAGGACAGGGGGTTGGCCTTTGTCCTGCAGCCTCGGACCGATTTATGTCCACTGCTAGCAAGGCCAGGTCCAGGATGGGTTGGGGAGTCCTGCCTCCGCCAGGGATCTCCCTCAGATCCCAGTGACCTTCTCCCAACCATCCCCACCCACACAGGTGGGGTCAGGCTGGTGCCTGGCCTGCCCGTCCTCTCTGGATGAGTGGGCATCCACAGAAGCTGAAGGCCACCAGAGGCCATAGCTGCGCACCTGGGGACAAGTGGTTTCCCTAACCAACTACCCCTGCCACAGGGAAAGGGCAGCAGGGGTGGGGCCCTAGAATGGCCTGGGCCCCAGCTGGGGGAATCCTGCCTTGGGAAGATTGTGGACAGATGGAGCTCCAGAGGGGACAGTCCCCACCCAAGCCCAAGTGCCCCTAGCATCCATGGTCCTCCTCTGTGTAAATTTTGGGGGTGCAGGTGGGGAAATTGTCACATGGTCCCCTACCTGGGCTCTGGTGGGGGCATGGGGGCTTCAGCAACAAAGGAGCCAAGCATGGGCAGGCCTGTTTGTGAAGCCAGGGTGGCAGGGACACTCCCTCTTGTTTTGGGCAAAGGTGGGTCTGATCCCTGGGTATTTTCAGAAATGGGGTGTGGGGCAGAAAGGCATAAGGAAGAAGGGGGACTCAGGCCAGTGTTCGTCTCCTCCACATGCTCCACTCACGTCTCTTGGATCTAGCTGTCCCCAGCCTGAGACCCAGCTCACCCTTGTTCCCTGCACTGGCTGCTCCCATCTGCCTACCCCAAAGTTTGTCCACGCATCAAGACCAGAAGCCCCTTTTATGCCCCCATCTCGGCTCTCCACCACCAGGACTGTACTTTGGGTCAGTGTCCTTTCCTCCTCAAGGACAGGGCCCTTCGTTACGGCCTGGGTGCACAGAGCCTGCAGAGACCAGGGCACATTCACACAGCCCAGTCCATAAACACTAGGGGAATGGCTGTGTGCCTCCATGTTGCATCTCGCTCTGTGGGTGGGACCTCCAGTCTCTGGGTATGCGGACACGGGTCCTCTGTGAGCCTCTGGGATGTGGAGCCAGAAGACTGCACAGACACACACACACACACACACCCCAGCTCCCCAGGCTGGGCAGACTCCAGGAGTCCCGTCTGCCCAGACAGAAGATGGGTGGGGGTGGGGGTGGGGTGGGGGACTGTGGAGCCCCAGGTGCGGCCTGTACCGCCTGCAGGTAACGAGAGCCTGGGGACCTGGGGGAGGAGGGGCACGCCTGCTCCACTGGGCGCCCCCACCCCCACCCGCCCCTCCCAGAGGGCTTCCCCGGAGAATC